GGTTGTTGTAAATTTCATGTTTTTCTTCCTGCTGTTGATTTACTTTATGGCTTTTCACTTAGTGGTGTATATGGCAACTGTGTAGTAGGGACTATCATATCCAGATATAACTGAACAATGCATCATGCATCTCTACTTCGAAGTGTATCTTGGCAATAGGGTAATAACTGTTTGCCATCGTTCATATCTACAGTATAAAGATCAGCTGAAACAGCAGAATGATGGACTTAGTACTATTTATGAAGGAAGATACTACTGTAATAAAATTGAGGGGCACGTTGGTGGGGGAGAGGGCAGGGGAACAGAGGAAGGGAAATCCCAGATCCTATGGAACTGTATCATAAAAATAAGTTAAAAATAAAATTAGCAGACTTGTAATACTGCTCAGAATGTTAAAATTTTTACAGAAGTAAGAGAAATAATTTGCAATACCTGATGGGAATTATATATATAATGAACAATGATCACCACATCAATATTTCTGATTTCCTTTACTTGATTCAATTGAATTTGACCTCTAAAAGATTTATGCATGAAAAGTTCCTATTCAATTTTAATTTAGTTGCATAAATCTTTCAGCTTTCTCAAGAATGCTGTCAAGTTTGAGTCACAATGGAATTCTAGTGTTTAAGAGCATGTAAAATGAAAGAAAATTAAGAAGCAAACATGATATTGTTGTGAATAAAATGCAGTGAATTGAGAGAAATTATCCATTTTTGGCTGTACAGGTATAACATCTATTGATTTTTTTCAAATATCATTGATTAATAGGCTTTAAAATTTTCATTTTAAGCTTTATGAATTCATGGCTTAAAGAGAGAGGAATTCAGGTACCCTGGACACAGTGGGTTAGAGATCGTGAACACAGATCCTATTGTTTATTTTTCTATGAATTCACCAAATGACAGGATTGATAGGGCTGTCACATCCTCTTGTGTGATAATCAGGTAGGCATGGGATTTGCCCTGATAACTGTTTTATTCTATTCTATTACTTATTTATTTATAATGCTTTCAAAGTGCACTTTTAGGCAGCATTTCTGAGAGAAGATTTGGGGTTCCCCAGATTCACAGTTTATGTTTGGTCCTGATGTATTTTTGCCTGCTCCCTATCCAGCCATATGACTCTTAGTTAATGTTTTTCTTCAAAGGCCATGGAAATTAAAATTTGGGATTATGAATCTGTGTTTAACCCAAGGAATAGTGACACATTGAAGTAATTCATTTCTATTGGATATTTATCATACAGTAACATTCTGGCATTTGTACTTTTTATTAAAGAAATTCTTGTATGAAGTTAATCATGGTTGAAAAGATGTTTATCTGATGATTCTGCCAGCTGATTCAATTCCATTAATAAGCAGTACCAACATAGAAACATTTATCTCTTCATCTGAAATTCTTTTTTTTTTGGTGGTTATAATATTTCTTTTTTTATTTACATATATTTTTTGTTGCATTTCATTTTATAGCAACATTTTGTAGGCTCTGATGTTCCCCCTTCCCCTCCCCGTGCCTTCCCCCCCCATGGTGGATTGCTTCACCTTATTGCAGTATTACAGTTCAAATCCAGTCTTATTTCTTTCATTGCAAGCATGTGCCATGCATAGAGTCAAGTATCTTATTGCCCAGCTGAATTCAACAGTTTCTTGGGGAGAACACACTTTAGTGTCATGTTATGTGTCTTAAGAAATATGGTAAAACTTATGACGAAGATAACTGGTGATTAACTTAATGAAAAAGTAACATATTTTATCATCTATATTCATAGTTTTAAAGTTTACAATCATTCCATATCCACTCATAAATACCACTATAATTTTCTATTCATACTAGAACAATACTTTAGTAATTGATACAGTGATTAACAGGGGAAAGATGGTTTATATTGGAAAATCATAGTGATTGTGCTGCCAGAAGGTACAATGGCATCCCATCTCAGAGTGCAAGATAAAGTTCTGGTCACTTCATGCTCCTGATGCAATTTCTTGTTGCTAATTCACTTGGGAAGTAGTACTGAGGGCTAAAGTACTTGGACCTCCTATACACATGGGAGACCCACATAGAGTTCTTCAGCTCTGATTTTGGACAGGACCAGCCACCACTAAATAGATATTTAGGTGAGTTAAGTATTAAGTGGAGGATTCCCTCTTTCTCTACTTGCTCTCTGGTCATTTTTTTCTTTTGAAAAATCATATTTAAAATATGCCTTCCATACAAATCACCCCTACATTTTTTTAATACATAATAAATTTTATTTTTTTAGCTACATTTATTTTTTTATAACTCCGTAAATACAGATTTAATAATTGTTTTTTTTTCTCTTTCAAAAAATTTTTTTTATTGTTGCTTACATTGTATTATGTAGTACAGTTTTATAAGCGCTGGGGATTCCCCCCACCCCTCCCATACCCCTCCCCCCATGGTGGATTCCTCCACCTTGTTGCATAACCATAGTTCAAGTTCAGTTGAGATTCATTGCTTGCAAACACATGCCTAGCATAAAGTTCAGCGTCTTATTGTCCAGATAAGTTCAGTGGCCTCTTGGGGAGACCTTCTATGGTCTGAAGATAGGTCTAACAGAGTAAAGATCCGGTCAGTTAAAAGCCCCAACAAGGCCTCAGTATCAATATACAACATTATGGAATTAATTGACATAGTATTGGGTAAACAATATGTTAAAAATAATGCAAGTTCCATTCTTCGAAACTTCAAAACAACCAAAAAACCAAAACAAACAAGCCACTCAAGAAATGGGCACGGGAAATGGGCAAACATTTCACAAAGGAACAAGTCCAAATGGCAAACAAACATATGAAAAAATGTTCCAGCTCCCAGGCAATAAGGGAAATCCAAATTAAAACATCGATGAGGTACCACCTAACACCAGCAAGATTGGCCCACATAAACAAGAACACCAACGACGCTTGCTGGCGAGGATGCGGGGAAAAGGGAACCCTACTCCACTGCTGGTGGAGCTGCAAATTGGTACAGCCTTTATGGAAATCAGTCTGGAGAACACTCAAACAACTCAAAATCTGCATACCATATGACCCAGCAATAGCACTCCTAGGAATATATCCAAAACACCTGTCTTACGACAAACCAACATGCATCCCTATGTTCATTGCAGCACAATCAGTAATTGCAAAAACATGGAAGCAACCAAAATGCCCATCAGCAGAAGATTGGATAAGAAAGCTTTGGTTCATCTACTCCATGGAATACTACTCAGCTATTAAAAAAAAAACAAAATGCAGTTCTTTGTGGCTAAATGGGCACAACTGGAAACTATAATGCTAAGGGAAATGAGCGAATCCCAAAAGATTAGATACCACATGTTTGCCTTGATTTAACCTGTAATTTTTTGTTTGGTTGTTTGTTATTTTTTGAACCTGTCATTGATACTGTCTCACCCCTACATTTTTTACAGATGGCTGTTCAGTATCGTTATAATTATTCTGTATTGTGTACATGTCTAATGCAAGCCCAAGGACTTCATCACCAGTCTCTTGGTTCCTGGCTCAATTATTTGTGGTATTTTTTTCGCCAAGATCTATGATTACATAAACACTTTGGAGTTTAATATGAAAGTCAAAATAAAGAGGGTGAGTATTGTCCACACTTTCTGTCTCCTTATTGATCCCTGGGCCTCACTTCAGTCCTAGACAACCCAGGTTGTCACCCCATGCATTGAGAACCGAGTTCCACATTCAGATTTCAGGAATGATTGTTTTGTTAAGAGAAGAACTAAATTCCTGTTTACAATGAGATTAACATAGGCTATCATGTCCAAACTTTCTTACCCTTATTTCTCTCAGGAGAGTAATATTTTATTACAAATTCATGAATTGTTCCCTGATGCCACTACCAGATTACTCAGATCCAAACATAAAATGAAAAAAAAAATTTGAAGCTCAAATAAATAATAAAGGAGAATTTTAGGGTTAAATGTATGACATATGTAGACAATGAAAGTTGTTAGGTTATGTGAATTAAAGCAGTTTTCAAGTAAATCATGCAAATATTTTAAATTAGCTGTTAATATTCATGCACAGTAAGCAGGTCTTTTCTCACTTAATTTATATATTAAGATCAGCCTCATGGGGAAAGGAGGATATTTGATGCTCTGTAGGAGCAAATCTGTTTCAGGGCATTTTTGGTATTTACAGAATGAGGAAAATTAGTTAGGAATAATCCCCCAAATATTTCTGTGTTAGATGAGGAAAGTACTGAAATTCTTATCCAGTATCCTTTATATAATTATTTCATTTTACTGCATGGCTAAGAATGTATGAATTAAGCCAATATAAGCCCATATATAAGTAAGAAAAATGACTGCACACATATGTTCCATGCTTAAATATATTATTGAAATCAAATGTGAGTCTTCAAATACTTAAAGATCCAATCACTTGGTCAAATTTATGCTAATCCCATGTTGTTATGAGCGTGAATGCTCACGTTTATGGAGCAATCAGTTATCAGTTCTGATACACCTGTGTTTTTGCTTTCCCAGATAAAGCCTTTAAGAAAGTTCACCAACCATCCAAATGTACAGTGTGTCCTTCCTTAAGTCATGCAAGTCATGTGGTTGTAGAAGAGTGCTTTTCCTTTTCCATCCATTCCTGAATGTTAATTATTTAAGATAAGATGTGTGTGTGTGTGTGTGTGCTTCTTCAGAGTACCTCAAAAAGTTTAGAAAGAGCAAATTAAAAGTAAGACTGCTTTCTGGAGGGTTGTTTTTATGCCAAAATTGAGAGGTTTAAAAGAGTCAAACATTAATATAATGACAAAACACTTATTGTAGAAAAAGTAGTGCAGAAATTTTAAATCCAGGAATTTCCAGTTTGCATTCAGGGCTCATAATGTGTGGGTAAAATAAAAAGGATGATTTGTGGTGACTTTCATAAAAAAGAAAACATATGACATGAGGTCTCTCTTTGTTTTATAGGCATGTAAAATGTCCTAGGTGTGCAGAGATATACAAACTATCTAATTATGTTATCATTAAAACGCGTGTATTTTTTCCAAGCTGGCATTGGGATATCAGCCAATGCCTTCCTCCTTGTCTTCCACATCTTCACATTCCACCAGGCTCATAGGCCAAGGCCCACTGATATAACCAAATGTCACCTGGCTTTTGTGCACTTAGTGATGCTGCTTACTACAGTGGAAATTTTGTCTGCACACATGTTCAAGTCAGTGAATTTTCCAAGTGACTTTAAATGTAAGGTTTCATACTATGTGAGCAGGGTGACACGGAATCTCTCCATCTCCACCACCTGTCTCCTGAGCATCGTTCAGGTCATCATCATCAGTCCCAACTCCTACTTGTCAAGATTTAAGCACAAACTCACAAGTTATATTGTCATTGCTTTCTTCTCTTTTTGGTCCCTCAACCTGTCTTCCAATAGCAACATGATCATCTATGCAGTAGCTTATTCCAACAGGACCAATCTACTCGATGTCAGTAAATACTGCTCACTTTCCTCAATGAACTCTGTCATCATGACACTATTTCTCACACTTATATTGTCTCAGAATGTCTTCTTTATAGGAATGATGCTGCTCTCCAGCATGTACATGGTGATTTTTTTATGTAGCCATCAGAGGAAGTCTGAGTACCTTCACAGCACGAGCATTTCCCCAAGAATCTCCCCTGCCAAACAGGCCACGTGTACTGTCCTAGTGCTGGTGAGTTTCTTTGTGATTATGTACTGTGTGGATATGACCATCGCATCCTTCTCATCCATACTCTGGAAATATGAGCCAGTTGTCGTGGATATCCAGAGACTTGTGGAAAATATCTACGCCACTGTGAGTCCTTTGGTGCTTATTAGTTCTGATAAAAGGTTAATTGGCATTCTGCAAAATGTGATTGGTATGAAAACAACGTTAAATTGATGAAACGAATATTACAACTTTTTTTGTCCAGTAATTTAAAAAATCTAAGATTTTCATGCAGTTTAAATATGCAAGATTTTGTCTCGTGGTTTTGTCTTATATCGTAATATTTTGTAATTTGATGCTGTTGAAGTCTATATGCCTCTCATGATTCGAAGTTCTCAATTTAATAACCTTTCTGTCCCTTATACTATCATAATACGGTAAATGAAAGTAGTTTTTCAGTTTGCTTTTGGAACTCTTTCTGAAACTTAATCCCTTTGTCTTTGTGTTGGGAAAGTGATGTAAATCTTACACCTGTGTGTAATAGTTATCTGAGATTTCTTAACTTTATATAAATGAATAATTTTAGCAATTGTTAACCAAAATGTGAAATAATAAGCATGTGTTCTTACTGACAATTCCATTATTGACTAGATAAAGCAGTGAGGTGAAGGGGACACTTTATTTTATAGAGCAAATAATTTATTTAAAATTTCATGCTCTAGGAGATAAAGCCTAGTTCTCTACTTCTTAAGAGTGACTATGCATGGAAAATAGAAAGTGAATGAAAAACTTCATCTGTAGAAAAATATGAAAAAAAATAATTCCTTCAGCTTCTATGATCTAGGCAAAATAAAAGCTAAGTCATGTTGACAATATGTACTTTGAGCATTCTGTGATGATGGTTTATCCTTAGTTATATCATCTCCCCAATTCCCATGACTTCAATTTATTCATGGAAAGACTAACACGTTCTAGTAGAGACCCACCTACAAAAGTGTTGATCATTATTTCCAAAAGTTGCAAGGTGAAAAGCAGCATATAGTTAAATAGATGTGCGAGAGATTCACCTATGCTTTCACAGGGAATAAGCAAAGTATGAATCACAATGTTGGATTTTGAAGCACATGCCTGAGAATGAACACAGGAACCTGGTAAAGAAGCATGGAACCTTGAAAATGATGAAGTCCTAGGATGGTAGGTGGGAAATAAAAACAAAAGAGAAGTCATAGTGCAACCCAGGTAGAGGCCTGCAGTCTAAATTTCAGGGCTGGTGATTATCATTCTCGTTTTTGTGCGTAGCGCATCCTAAAGCATTATTTCTAAGCCTCCATGTATTGTGGCAAATTCTTTAAATGTCTGTATTGGAAGGTCTCTGTTTCATGTTGGTGAATAAGATATTCTGGTTGGAAGTCTCTTCATTTAATGACCTGGCCTTATTCTCCGCATTCTTTTTAGTTGTAAGGTTTCTGATGAGGTATCAGTTGTTGATAGTATTGGAGATCCTCTGAATTTCATATGACATTTTCTCTCATGGACATCTTAGAAGCTCCTCTCTATTAATGTTGAGAGATTTACTCTAGTGTGTTGTTGTGAAGGTTGTTTTCATATCATGCTCATTTGGAGTTCTATGTGCTCCCTACAGAACTTTTTCCATATTAGGGAAGGTCTCTGCTGTTATAGGCCTTCTAATCCATTTTCTTTTTCAACACCTTTGGGAACTTCTAAGATACATATGCTTGGTTACTTGGCTTTTGTCTCACCAAACTAGAGCACTCTTTTGAGTTTTCCTGATTTTTTCCCTGGCTTTTTGTCAGTATATGCTGTTCCCAAGCATTTGTCTTTTATCTCATGTTTTTTTTTTCCCCTCTGGTAATGTTTCAGGATATAAAATGAACACAAAAATCAACAGCCTTTGCATGCACAAACAATGCATTGGCTGAGAAAGAATTTGTAAGAAATCTAGACTGACATACATGAAATAGTTGTTTCTTCCATGGAAATCAGCCATGGGGACTTGGCACTCTGTATGGAACAGAAAAGAGAGAAGTCGAATTAAAGTATTCGTAGCTTTATACCTTGGCCTTTTGTAGGGACCAATCCACTCCCCATAAAATTTCTTGCTGTTTTAAAGAAGGCATAATAAATATCATTACACAGTTTCAAAATTCTCCCATCTAGGAAACTATCTCTGATGAAGAAGACCATTGATTAAAATTATAAAAGCATATTTACTTTTTCCTATACATACCATGTACCCTTTAAGAATAAAACATAGTGTGTGTGTGTGTGTGTGTGTGTGTGAAAATCAGCTAGGAGGCACACTTTACCCAGAAGTGGATATCTGCCTACCTGTGCATTTATCCTCAAACACTGAAGGAGTGACACGTTTTTAACATGGCTTCATGTATTAAATTCCTAAAGCAAAAATTTATAGATGTAGACAAGATTTTGAAATCTTATCTTGAAGGTTTCACCAAATAATTCAGGGAAATTCCCTGTCCTTTTTCTTAGCACAGGGATATATTTCAAGTACATGGCTCAGGTTTAAAAGAGGTCATCTTTACACTGCTCCTACAATCCAAGATTACAGCTGTGGAAATTGACCTTTACCTGCCGCTCCAGATTGACAGCTGAACTGCTCCTTCTTCACCCTCAATGTACATGGTTCTGGGCTCCCCAGGATCCTGTGTGCCTAATGTTGGACAAGCACCAACATTGCGGCCCAGACAGGCAAATGCTCTGAATATTGCCTGCTACGTCTTTGGAAATCAGATTTACCAAATATTTTCACTGCAACACTGGTGCTAAGGGGGTACCTTGAGTTCACCTCCAAATGGTTTAATTGAGCCATGCTCCTGATTTCAGTTCAATTGGAAATTACATAAGCTGCACATGCCCTATGAAGACAATTCTCAGTATTTGACCTACATAGCACCAAACTGGGGGACAATGGTTCATCCCTGAGGGAGAGGGCTGAGCTGAGCTCTGCCAAGTCATCCCAGAGCTGGGACTCCAGCAGCCAGGAGCCTGAGCTCCGGGTGACCATTATCCCTACCTCTTGGTAACGTTCTATGATACCCACAGCCTGAGGCATTCCAGCAACTACCTAGAGCCAGGCAGCAACAGGTTGCAGCCAGAGTGCCACCTGAAGCCACCTGTACAGTTCAGCATGCAGCTTTTTTGAGAGGCAGTCGTGCACTGCCAACCCAAATTTTGACCTCCTAATGGGCAGCAAGACCCACAGCTGACCCCATATCAATTCCACATTGGGCATTTCCCATAAATGGGTTGGCTTCTGAAGCACTACATTTAGCTGCAGACTGGTAGCCACTAAGACATTGGGACTCAGAGGATCATGCTTCAGCGACCACACAGAACCACGGGTTGGTCAAGGAAATGAGGAGGCAAAGCATCCCATGAGACTGCCTAAATATGAGCACTTTTTGCATGTATCTTGAAGCTCACCTGGTAAGTTTGTGGCTGGAGGGCAGCAACCACCCAGGACATGACCAATACTGCTCCAATGGAAAACAAGCAAACAGCATTGAAAATTCTAAGATTAGGACTTCTCGTTGGTTTGAATTTGACCCTAGAACTGTTTAAATAAGCAGTGCTATTTGGGTTTAATATATAGAGAGGAGTTAGCTGGGATACAGCTGGCATGCCTTGGGAGGACAGGAGGAAATAGGTTTGGGTTATTGAAATTAATAGTATAATTAAGGTCGTGGTGCTGGTCCCCACCTGGTCTGAAGGGGTGTGTGCCTGGTTTTCCACTGACTCAACCCAGCTTTACACAAAAATGGGAGGCAGCTGTCTGTAGAAAAAGCTTTAGGCCAGCAAGTTGAGCTGTATTTTGGTCGGATCCACTTTCCAGTACTTTTAAGAGTGTAGTGCAACAACAAGCTCTCAGGAGAGTGCCCATGCCAAACATTTCTCGGCACGAACCTCTGACATGACGGGAAGATATATGGAGTCTCAAAAGCAGGTGCCTCATCTACTGTAACACTCCATTTCCAGGTGGATGCGCTTGGGGCTGCTGTGCCTCCTCTGCAGACACCGACAAAACTTGGGTTTCTGTTGGACACAGTGTAGTGTGGGGGACACATCACCAGTGGAAAAACATTGAAGGAGTCAAGACAGCATAGCAGCGAATGCAGAAGACTGAACGGCAGCACTGCTTGAGGAAAATTAGGAGGTGTACACTTCATAAATGAGAAAGGTGGACAATATAAGAAAGAGGTAGTGGGTACGTGATCCTTGCAAATGCTGTAGAGTTAGTGGAAGTTCCAGAATAGATAGAAGTGTGTGTTATGGTTTTTTGTGGTTTTTTTTTTTTTTTTAGATTAGTTTTTTTTATGGAATGTAGTTTTACATGAGAGGTCAGAGAGGCGGGAGACAGTGAGATAGATCTTAGCTGATGTTTCACTACACAATGTGGAGCGCAATGGCCGATGCTATACCTTGCAGAATTCAGCATCCGGAACTTATTCCTTTTTCCCTCATGGGTAAAGATCCAAAAGCTTTGGGCATCTCTACTGCTTTCCCAGGACAGCAGGAAGCTGGATGGTTAATGGAGCTTACGGGATTTGAATCTGTGCGCCATATGGGTTACCGGCGGGATTCAAGGCAAGGAATTTAGCAGTAGGCCAGCGCCAGACCCGTGTGTTACGTTTTTAATGATGCATTAACATACCTTTTTGCCGATTAAAGGAGTTTTGTTTGAAGAAGTAGAAGCTTGTTTATTTGGTTGTTTTTTTAGATTTATTTTTTATTTTTTGGAAAGGCTGATGTAAATAGAGAAGAGAAGTGTGGTAGATTTACTCGATGATTCCTCCCAAGTGTGAGAAACGGGCGATGCTATGTGATCCGTAGCCAGGTGACTCTTCCAGGACTCACACGAGGGTGCTGGGTCCATAGACTTGGGCCATCAAGTACTGATTTTACGGGCCACCTGGCTGGGTGCTGGTTGGGTAGTGGGGTGGGGGATAGATACCAGCGCCAATGGATCACAGGGCGTTGCATTGGTGACGGTAAGTAAACAACTGCGTCACGCGATGCGGCACGAGCTTGATGTTTGTATTAATGCAATTTCAGGGGCCTCTTCCCATACAGCTCACTGGTGTGGCCAGATTTTTCTGGCTGTACATCTTCCTTATGCTAATGCTTGTGGGCGGGGAAAAGCAAGTCGAGGAACGGCCATGCTGGGACCTGCAACATTGTGGTAAAGTACAGTA